ACATGGAATCTCCCTTTACTTAGCTCCTGAGGCCAATGATTATGATTCATTAGCTGATATATGGTCATCTCAGCAGGTGACAGCTTTCTTCAAACAGTGAACACCAACCACCCCCTGCAAACACAGCTTATTTTCAACACAAACGCTCTTGGTTTGTTGTTTCATTACTGGGCTTCATTAGCTGAAAAAGCAAAGGAGCTGAGATCTGACAACAATGTAATTAATGAACACTTAGTGAAAATAGCTTGGCTGAAAACCTCTGAGCTCCAAAGTGCAGCAGCTTAGCTCAGAAGAGACTGAGTGCAGCATAGCTCCTAGCTCAGTCTTGCACCTCAGAAGCTGGCCCAGCTAGCTCAGCCAAGTGCGCCTGAACCTCAGCTTCACTCAGGTCAGGCAAGCTGAAGGCCAACATTGAGGAGGAATCGAAAAGAAACAAAAAACAAATCAAATTCAATCTGAGGAACCTCAGCCTCAATGATCCACTCAGACAATGGTCCAGGAGCGACAGTGGCCAGCTGAAGTGAGGCTGAGACTTGAAGCCTCTCAGCCTCCAGCAAAGAAACTTAACCCACCAACCAAACCCATCACCCAAGCCACAACCAACAAAAAAGGCCAAAGCATTCAGCTAATGAATCTGAGCAGCTTTGACCCTGAGCCCTTGTGCCCTGGTCTGAACAGCTTCCCAGTGGATGGAAGCTGAGGAGAAAGGATGGGCCTGAGCAACCAGCTGAGCCACAGTTGGCTGAGGGTTGTTGGCCCACAAGATGTCCAGCTCAGGGCGCAAGCAATTGCTGAGGATCCTCTCCTCATCACTGAGCAGCTCTGCTGAGGCTGTTTGGCCATAGATGGCCTGAGAGCTGGCTAGCTAATTAATGGCATTTGCAAAGAATCAATAATATAGAGGTGCTCTTGCAAGAGAAGACAACAGCAAAGTCTTATTAATCAATATATATATATATATTAATATTACTAATTAGACTGAGTTGCCCTGAGGAACCTGTCATACTGAACACCCTCTTGTGTCTTGAGGATTGCAGCATGAGCTAGGCGCACTAATAGCTCTGGGCCAATGAACCACTCAGCAAAACAAAGACAGCAAAATTACACTAAGATGAGAACAAGGTTCAGTCAACTGCCACTGAGAGACTGGGCCTGAGATCAATGACCACCTCTTCTGGCAGAGAAACTCAATAAAGAGAGCAGAGCCTCCCTGAGCTGGGTCAAACTCAGTGAAGTGTTGGCTCAGGTGCCTGAGAACATCCCAACTGTTCCCTCCTTGGGCATCCAGCCTGAGTTCCACTGAGCTGAGCTTGTTGCTGAGAAAAAGGAGGTGCTGAGAAATGTCCTCTAAGGCCTGAAGATCACGCTCGTTCTGGTCCTCAGAGGATTGCCAAAGCTCCTCACTGACATCCATGGAGCAAAAGAACTATCAAAGAACTAGCCAGGAAGCACAACAACAACAACAAAAGTGTTCACCCAAGTCTGTACCAGGATCATTCCTGAGCTGCTGCAAGTGAGATGCCAGCTGAGAAACAGGGCCATAGCTCAGGTGCATCAAAGCCTTCACCATGAAGGCTGAGAGCAACAGGGCTGAGAACCAACCCTGAGCTGAGCTGAACTGATGGCAAAACATGGATGCGCTGCAAAAAAACAAATCAAAATAGAAACACCAAACTATAAACATAATGAAGCACTGCCCAAGGTCCAAAGCTTCAAGGCTCAGGAGCTCTTTCACCTGAGCAACCCTAGCTGCCAAATCCACTGAGGTCCCACCTCAGCTGCAAGGGTGTGCAAGTGATTGAAAAAATTATATATATATATAAACCATTTTGCAAGTACAAAAAATAGGAAACACCTGCATGAATTAAATACAATAGAAAGAACTCCATTAACCAAGTGCAAGTGACAGACCAAGCTGATGCTTGAGCAGCAGCACAAGCTGAGCACGATGAAGGCCTTGAGCTGTGGTCCCATGGCTCTTGAGTCCTCAGTGTACCAAGCTGAGTTTGATGCACTGAAGTTCAAAACAAAATCAGCCAAAACAAAAAATGCAGGTCAGCTGAGCTAAGACCAAATGCAACAAAAACTTTTTGAACTAAGACCAAATGCAGGTCAGCTGAGCAAAGAATGCTGGGCTCTCTGAGAATGCTGAGAATGCTGCTGGCACCACCAAAGCATGCTGAGTGATTGCACACGCTGAGACCCTGAGACCCTGGAACTGAGACCCTGGAAATTTGGTGATTGACTGAGAACCTGAGACCATGCGCTCCCAGACCTCACCCCTTGCACCTTTTCACTGGGGGCCTGAGCTGTTTGTGTTCTGGTCCCACTGAGGTTGAAAAAGGCAACTCAGCATTGCTGAGGCACAAAAATCTAATCACTCTTTGCCCTTAGCGTGCTTCAAGAGCTGCTGCAAATCTTCAGGTCCTCAGGGGGTAAGAGCTGAGTGAACAACCATGGCCATGGCCAACTGGTTGAAACCACCACCAAATAACCAGAACAACAACAACAACAATAACAACAACAACAGCTAGCAGCAACAGCAGGCAAGCACAGCTCCCCCATGCAAGCTCTCACAAAACCTTTTTTCAAACACGCTCCCAAACCTTCAGCTCTTTCATAAATTGCTCTGAGCCCACTTGCCACTGAGCTCAATCCATCTGAGCAAGCTTCTGGGCCTTGTTCTTAGGCTCCAGCTCAGGAGGAGGTGCCTTTGGCTGAGGTGGCTGAGGTTGAGCTGTTGTCTTTTCCTCAGCAGCCATCTGAGATGGTGCACTCTCCCCTGAGGCCTTCATGAATTCCAAAGCTTTCTGAAGCTCAGCAGCAGTGTACTGACAAAGCCCTGCCTCAGCAAGCTGCTTGGCCAGCTGCTGAGTCCTTTCCTGGGCAAGTGCAGTCTGAGATTGTTCCAGCTCAGTGACCTTCTCTGAGGCCACCTGCCTCAAATCTTTCAGCTGCAACTCAGCCTCTCTCAGGAATTCGCACTCAGTCCTGAGTTTTTCCTGAGCCTGGAGGAGCTTCTTCTCATACTCCATGGCATCAGCTGCAATGCCCTCCAACTTCCCCCCCCATTTGCTGATGCGCTCAGTGATCTGGCTGCTGGCTCAGCAGCCTCTGAGATGTCCAAAATAGTCGTCTTGATGAACTCCTCAAGCTGAGTGTGATCTGAGGAGCCCTGAAAGAAGAACTGAGCTGGCATAGGGATAAATGGGAGGAGGAGGAGGTGGCTCCTGAGCGCTTGGCTGAGCACTGCCCTGAGCGCTTGGCTGAGCACTGCCCTCAGCACTTGGCTGAGCACTGCCCTGAGGCATAGGCCCTTTGCCCTTAGAAGCCATGAAGCCCCTCTTGCCCTTGAACTGAGACACTGTGAGGTGGCCCTTCCCATCCTGAGCCACCAGGTCAGCCCAAGGCAACTGAGCACAAAGCCTCAGCTTGTCTATTGGTGACCACTTCACCCACCCGCCACTGACATGCACTTAGTCTAAAACAAAAATAAAACTATATATATATATATATAACTATTACACAGTTTTTCAATAAGAGTGAGAGGAACACCTCATTGTAGTACTGAGCAATCGCCCACGCTGGCCAGCCATTCACCCCTGGACAATGCCTGCCTTAGTTTCCATGGCCCTGAAAACAAAAAACTTTGGCACTACCTTACCAAATCAAACTAACCCAAACAGGAAAGCAAAAGAATCAGATTCAACCAGAAGAGGTGCAGCCACTCTGCCAAGGAATCCTGCTGAGAACCAGCCTATGCCCATTGGGGCAGTAGATGTCAGGCTCCTGAGGCAACCTCCTGTAGTTGATGATGGTCTCCTGAGATTCTTACTAATGGCATTCCCCCTGAGAAGCTGAGAAAAGCAACAAGGGGATTGAGCAAACCAAACACATCACTTGATTAAGCACAACCAAGCAACAGAAGAGGTCTCAGAACCAAAAAGATCCCTCACCAGGACTTCATCTGAGAAGGAAGCCATGAAAGCTGAAGATCTGAGGCTTCCCTGGAGCTGAAGTACTGAGGCTGCAAAGCAAAAGGATAATGAATACTACAATCAATTACAAAAGATCCCTCACCAGGAATCCAGATTTGTTTTGGTGATAGTTTATTATAGAGGACCTCCTGTTTGTTTGAGGGAGGGGGGGGCCCTATTTACTAATCAGGCGCCAACATTAATTACTTCGAAACTTGCAGAGGGGTTTGCCCTCACAAAGCACGCTGGAATCGTCGGAGCGACAAGAGATGACCGACTGCCTTTCTGTTTCAAACCTTTGTGGCAAAGTGAGAGGGAGAGTGCGAGAGTGCTACTGAAACTAGATACTGATAGAATCTATACGTTTCCCTTAGAATCTAGCCAAATCATTAGTGCGAGCGCTTCTTCAAG